GGAAGCTGATAAGCGGTATGGCAAGCAGTGAAAGCAACAAGTACTAGATTCTGATATACTGTCAGGAAGGCGAGCCCCATGGCAAGCACAGGGGCCTGCTCATTACTAGCTAAACAGCACTAACAACTATAAATTTAATCTAGTACATCCCAATCCGATATGTCACTATCTCAAACCCTTCAAGTCCCATGTTGGGCACCAAAAAAACCAAAGGAAATGCAGCCTTCAGAGACAGACTGAATTCTTTTTATGTGCTATTTTTCATCCTTAGCATTGACTTGCTGCCTTCTGAATCCACTTTTCAGAGTATTGGCTGCCTTTTTGTAACCTTTTTTTTCCATTTTTTTTTTCTTCACTGTGTATGGCTGCAGAGTCCTGCAGAAGCATTCTGGGTAGTACAAATTTCTCTGGTCTTTTTTCCCTTGTCTTCATTTTCAGTGGTGGTGAAAGCTAAGGAGAAGGACTTTTTTACATCTGTGAAGTAATCAAAACTACTACCCTTTCTGGGTGGAGTTAAAGTGGATGTGTGAGCTCAAGTAGAGCACAGGGCTGGCACAAGGGAGGCACACTGTTTTCCCAGTCAGGGGCCCGGAAGGGACTGATCTGTTAGCGTTGCAGCTGGCTGTCTTTAAATGATGAGTTACCCACTTGGCATGAATCCACAGCAGAGTTCAAGCTTTTGTCCCTCTTGGCCTACTGAAGTGGCTTAAAACTGGTTTCGTATGATGTATCACTTGTGGATTGTAAGGATTAGTTTGTTTTTAATGGAAATCTCAAAAAGGAGCAAGCTTTCAAAAGATATTTTTACTTAGGTTTTTTTCAGTCTTTTTAAGCTTTGAATTTGTGCTTTCTATCTGTATTTCAGTGTCTAAATGATGTTTAAAAGGCACATACAACGTAAACCAACTCTCTGGCTCTTAGGGTCACTGTTGTCTCAGATAGTTGTACAGTAAAGTCTGCATTTGGATTCATCAGGCCCTATTCTGTTACGTGCATTATTGCACTTCCAGTTAAATTCCACTTTTGTGAACAGTGATGATGAAAGCCTCTGAGTATACAGGAATGCCTCACGGCTTCTGCCAGAATGAGAGAAGGAATTTTGGAGTTGCGTAAGGTATAAACATCAGCTGAAAGGCTGTCTCATTTTTACGCCTCTCAGTTGTTCAGTTCATTGAACTAATTTTTGCTGTTGAGCAATGAATTGCTGAAGCTCAATGAACAGCTAGAACATCTACATATATAAAAAAACATTAAGTCCTTCTGCATATGCTTTAAGAATAGATTTTATTGGATATATGGCTGCTTCAAACTTGTATTTCGTAAGTACTTTCCATAGGTAGTAGTATTCAGAAGTGAAAAAGATAGTCAAGTTTCAAACTACTATAGAAATCTTTCTTTATGTCTATATGGCCTGCATATGTCTGACCCAGCTGAGATTTGTGAGAGATGTGCAGTGTGGTGTTCTTGACTTGAGGAAGTGAATGTATTAAATAAGACAAGTTAGACTTGTTCTTCACAAGTTACACTTGTAGATAAAAGCAAGCATTTTCGGATGTTGTGATGGATGCTTTTGAAGCAGAACTGCATCATATCTTGTGTGTAAGTAGTGGATTAGTTCTAACTAGTGTCTTAGTCTTAGAAGATACCACCAGCTACACTTGCTTCTGTTACTCTGAACAAAAATACAACCCAACCCAACATCCTCCTTATTTCTTAGCAACCTGAAATCAAGCAGCAGCAGATACTTGCAGTAAAAAAACTCCACTTCTGGTGGAGTTTGGCATTTTATTTCTGCACACATTTCCTTAATGTCTGCTGTGCAAGTTTGCTAAAGATGTAAATGTGTACTTAATCTTAAATACATTAGTTAAGATAATTGCACATTGAGAAGATGTTTGATTATTTGTATACAGACATCCCACAGTAGTCACACCTGCAGGGTCTTTGCCATGGCATATGGCAGCAGTAATGTGGATTGTTTATATATATAAATAAATACATATCTGTCCAAGTTATAAACTGATGCAAGTGTGAGTTTGCTAAGATAAACTGTGCAGTTGCATAGTTGCATTCCCATGTCTGTTTTCTGTTAAATGCTCAACTTCTAGGTCACCCTGTGACCATGCTTGTCTTTGCTTTTACCCCTCTCTTACTTCTACCTTTGCTTTCCAGCATTCCAGTTCTTTATCCTCAAAATCCAAGCACATTTTAATTTCTTTTAGTTTGCTTAAAAAAATTGTGACTCTGACTCGCCTTATGTTCTTTTATTGCTTTATTCTCTGGATGTAGAGTTGCTGTCTGGAGTTCTTTTATGTTGTTTTACAATGCACATACACATCTCAATTTCTGTGAAATTGAGTGTTCTTGCTGCCATGTCTATTGGCTTCTCGTCAGCCAGTATTGCCGTCTTACAAGGCAAGGTGAAGTGGGGATGGAAATCACTTCATTTGACCTGGAAGAAAACTAGAAGTTGTTGAGTGTTCTGTATAATGCATCACAACATGAATTGCTGATCAGTTTTCTTCTCACTTTTTCCACACTTTCTCACTGTTGGAGTTTGCACCTTGAGTGTTGCTGCATTTATCTTTATTATAAATTAAAAGGAGTTTTATGTTTAAAAGTGACCTTTGTGGCACTAGCTGATGTCATCATCTTCCAGTTTTGCCTGCTGAACAACATAGAACATGGTGTAATGTTTAAAAAAAAAAGAATTCTTCATCATGGGTTAAGTAAAACAGTGTTCATGTAAAGTATTATGCATTTTAATTGGCAATAGGCAGAAGTAGCATCTAGAAAGATTAGACATTAGAACTTTGAAAATGTACAATGTCCTCTGTGGTCTAGACTCTTGATGCCTGAATGAAATGAGGTTGGGGTGTCCCAAGGCTCAATCTCTGGACTGGCTGAAGGAGAAACAATTAGAAGTCAGCCAGTCTGAGTACAGTGGCTGTGAGCTGGACAATAAAGAGCATTTGTTTAGATCCCTCTGCAGGTCTCACATGCCTTGCGAAGGTCAACAACACCTCCCATTACAGTAGCACTGGCAAATTTGCCAAAGGTGCATTCAACTCCTGCATCCATATAACTGGTAAAAATACTGAACAGAACAGGCCCTAGGATTGAGCCCCAAGGAACACTGCTGGTCATGAGCCAGATGCATCTCCATTCACTGCAGGCTTTGGAGCTCTGCCCTTCGGCCAGTTCTTCACTCAGTGCACTGTGAACCTGCACATGCCACAACTTGTTCAGGATGTGGTGAGGGACACTATCAAAAGCCTTACTAAAATCTGGAAAAAGTACTTCTACTGCCTTCCCTTCATCCACTAGGCAGATGACTTTATTGTAGAAGGATAATAAATCAGTTAAACATACTTTCACTTTGTGAACCCCTGTTGACTGTTCCTGATGGTTGTCTGTAGTTTCCTGGGTCTTTCCTCATGCCCTTCTTGTACACTGAGATAGTGGCTAGTGTCCAGATAGTGGCTAGTGTCCAGATAGTGGCTAGTGTCCAGTCAGCAGTGACCTTCCCAAACCTTTGGGAGATGATGGAAGGGTCCTAGTGTAACATCTACTACTGCCTTCAGTGCTCTGGGGTCAACCCCTTTTGTTAAGCGGTTTTATTTGTATAATAGTACACAAAAGATAAATTTAGTAAGGCTAACTACACTCTGCCTTAAAACTGCATATTTGAAGTAACATTTGTGTACTTGACACCTCTTCTGTCAACTTGTCACCTTTTTCTTCATGTGGTTGTGAATTTGATGATTGTGTTTCTTTTTTTCCAATAGCTGAAATACCACTTTTGTACGTACTAAAGCATAAACCACAGAACCATTTGCGGAGTATCTATGTTACATGTATCAAACCTTGGTGGTTGATAGCATATCTCAGCCTCTGTGTATTACTTTCGGTAATGTGTTATATTTGTGGTCTTGCTCTCAAGATGTGAAAATTGTTTACTTTCCCTCAAAATATCACAGAGTGAAGTTGCAGCACTTGCTTTGTGAACAAGCAGCAGCCTAGAGCAGATCAAATACGAGTTACCCGTCAACATTTCGTACAAGCTATATTGAGATTGCTAAAGATGACAAACTAGGCATTGAGAAGCTGAGAAGTAACAGTTAAAATTGGTTGAGTGACCTTCATTTCTTTTCTCTTCCTGTCATGTGACAGCCTTCAATAGTTACAGGATCCTGTAATTTTCCTTCCCCTGCAGCTGCTCCCTCGATATCCCTGTGTCACTGTTTGTGTTTAGAAGAGATGCTTACTGCACAAGGAAAACTGTCAATGCTGCTTTTTATTTTTGTGCTGTTTTACTACATTATCTCAGATGCTTTTTACTAAGTGTACTTTGAATGCTTTCTTGTATATGGAACTACATTATAGCTTCAGGGTTCAAATTTCTTACAAATGCTTGTAATTCATTTTTCTCATCACATGTTACTGAAAATACTGCTGGAGTGGTAGAAGTCATTGTTAGAAATTCATGTTGAATCCAGGCTTTCCCCAACAGACCTGTTGTCTTTTGGCCTTGATAGTCCAGCTTTGGTATTTCCCACCTCACCCTCCACTTGCTCTAACTGAATTTCTGAACGGAAAGAGAAACCGACGGGTGCTGGGCTAATCTCCTCTAACTTGAGTAAATTCGTACTATCTGTCTTGCTGATATATCTGTAAAATACCAACACAGGGGTATAATCATCACTGCTTATGAACCTGATCTGGGCTATCTGATGGACTTGCTTTCAATGGGCATGGGTTATTTGACATTCTGGGTTGCAAACAGGATGAAAGCTGTCTCCGTAGGAGAGAGAATAATAAATCAGCTTACAGGGCTCTTATGTGTTTGTACTGGTGACAAACTAGTTCATTGAGGGGGAAGTATTTGTGATTTTTATGCCTACCATGTTGCCTTTTCCGAATAATTTAGGAGTACATTTGACTGTTCTTGTACTTGAATAGGTCTGTTTATCAAAGTACAATTGCTCTCTTTCTTCTAGTGCCTTCACCAACAGAGATTGTAGTAAGATCTGAAAATTTCAAAACTCTTTTGCATTGGCAGTATCCACCTGTGTCTGAAACTCCTCATTTTATTGTGGAAATCAAGCCTTACAAGTAAGTTCTTACTATTTTGTCATTTCCTGTACCTTAGATTCTCTGGAAGCACATAAAAGCAGTCAGTCATTAAATTTCAGTCAGTTTTTTGTCTATGTAGTGAAGTCGTGTAGGGTAAAGGTTGTCCAAGTGTAAATTAAGGCAAAATTAAGTCAAGTAACAGGATGGCTGAGGTTGGCAGGGACCTCTTGAAGTCATCTGTTCCAACCCCTTTGCCCAAGCAGGTTGTCCAAGACCACGTCCAGTCAGCTTTTGAATATCCCCAGGGAAGGAGACTGCGCAACCTGCTTGTGCAATCTGCCAGTACCTGGCCACGCTCACAGTTTTTTGTTGTAGGAAATGTATTGTACAGTATTCTGCAATTGAAATTGTATTAACTATTACTTGGTCTGTTTTACAGTTTTGGTGACTATAAGAACATCTCAACTTGTGTGAACACTTCAGCTCATTTTTGTGATCTCTCAGGGGAGATATGTGAGCCTTATTCGTCTCACTGGCTTCGACTTAAAGCTATTATTGGGTCACAACAGTCTGAATATGTTGAGACAAATGAATTTATTTTGCAAAGGCATGGTAAGTTGCGTCATAACCTAAACCTTATAATTTTTTCCCAAAATTTAGAAAGTTAATAATTATCCTTTTTTGTTGTATTATTGTGTCTCATTTGGGAATATCTTAAAGCCGGGATGAAACGAAGCATGATGATTGTTTAGTAGGATTCCATAGTACTTGTTAGCCTTGATGCTGTGGCATCTGAATAATTATTTCAAAACATCTAAAGGCAAGAAGGTGATGCTGATGGTGCACTCTGTGAATCCTTTCCTTATTCTTCCCTGCTGTCCCAGACACCAATTTAGGGCAGGAAACTTGTCACCGGACACTGTGGACCTTTAGGCATGACTGAAGTAGTTATGCCTTGCTTGACACTATAATGCCATGTACTGACAACTTTGGTATTGGGTACTGTCTAGAAGCTGTGGGATATCACTGTGCCTGGATAACTAAGTTACCAATTCTTCATGTAAATCCTTTGGGCTACTTTGGGAAAAATCAGTCTTTCACATCAATACTGTAAAAGTAAATTTTGTGTCTAGAATCCAGGCCATTGCAGTACCGTGTGGCAGGCCCTGGCATTCCATGGATAGTGCAAAGGAAATTCTACAGAGTGAGGAAAGACCAAGAGAATTCCACTCATGCTTGCTCCATTCTCAACATACACCTTTCAGGCAGAATGTGGCCCACGAAATTCTCTTACTAGTGCTATGCTTTAGATAGAGCTGGATTTCTGCAATGCTGGAGCTGAAGGAGTGGAGTCCCTCTTTGTTTTCTGCTATGATTCCTTCCCAACCAGTAGTCCTACGCCTTGAAATAGGGGCTGCTTTCTAGTTTTCGACTAAGGGACAGAAGTCGTGGTAATAATGCTGAGTTTGACAGTTTGCAGAAACTTGGTAGCCATGTATGGAGAAAAGAGAAAAAGTCCTTTTCCCATTGAACAAGAAACTCATGTTCGGTCAGATCATTAGACACCAAAAATTCACAGAGGCCACTGCCATGGGAAATCAGGTTTCCAAAGTACTGTTCCTCAAGGTGAGATGTGCTTGGCTTTTTGTGTAGTCTTTGTTTCAGTACAATATTGTTTTTAGCTGAGGTGATTTATGGGGAGATCTAGTCAGCAGTATCATGTTTGGTTCTTGTTCATGTGTATGTAAAATTGCTGTTAGTCTTTTCTGTTGTCAGCTGAATTTTTATGGCCTTATGTGTATAGGAGAGTTGAGTTGCTTAACAGTGGAATTCTTCATGGACAATCTGTTTCATTTTAGAAGCCAATTCATTAATGTATCCAAATGCCTTCACTACTTCTAAGCAACAGACAGGTCTGAGCACAGCTATGCAATTTAACAGCATTGAAATAAACGTGTAATTCTTCTCAAATCTCTGATGAAGTTTGGAAAGCTAACTGTAAATAACATACTTTATGTTAAAAGCTTTGGCCTAATGGTGCTACGGTGCAATGTCTTGCAGGAAAAATAGGACCACCAAAACTGAATCTCTCAAGGCATGGTGATAAAATCGTAGTTGATATTTACCATCTTTTATTCCCTCATTCTTGTATTGAAGACATTTATTTAAAGCTCGAGTACCTGGTGACTTTTCGGAAGAGTGAAAATGAGGTAAGTTCTGAAAATAAAATCTCAAATTAAAAACACTTGTTTACCGTAAATGCGTAAACAAGACATTTGCTCCTATGACAAATGGAGCAAACAGATACCAAGAAAAAAGTTGAAATCCTAAAATGTTGAGTGCATTACTGTGAGATATGTAACTGGAAGGTCTGGATTTTAGTTGTCCAAATGAATGGTTTTTAAAAAAAATTAGATTATTGCATTAGCTCTACACAGGATAGAGTTACTTGATTCCACACTATTGTTTGTACCTACATGCTAAAATGTTGGTAACTTTACTTAGACCCCTTTCACTTGTCTAGAGAGACCTTTCATTTAAGAAAATTACCTTTCAAGGTATTGATAACAGTTTATTTAGCAATCATGGAGGGTGAACTTGAGAAAAATTATAGTAGGTATGTTTACTTACAGTTACCTTTTTCATATGCATCCTGGTTCAAGTTTTATAAGTGAATTAGGAATGTGAATCTAGACTATGAACAGCACAAATTTTAGATGGAAAATAGCATGTTGTGATCAAATATAACATCTTAAGGTAGCCAGTAAGCTGATAGCTGAAGTTCACACAGCTTTTGCAAGGGATATAGGTAATGTAGGAAACATATCTAATAGTGTTTTAATGTTTTTGGAAGTGTTGGAAGGTGCTGTAACGTTGTTCTCTTGAGTCAAATCATATAATGTGTCTTCTGGTTTTTTGCAGATTGAAGAGTTCTATGCAGACAATTGTACAGTGGATAAATGTAGCCTCAACATCGCAGTTCCTGCTGAAGGTTCTACTTACTGTGTTTCAGCAAAGGGAATTTTTGAAGAACTGATGATTGGCACCCCATCAGAGGAAAGCTGCATTCTTGTTCCTGTTGAGCAGACATTGAGTAAGCGGATTTTAAAACTATAGTAAGAAAATACTGAATCTGACCAGAGATCTGATCTAGCATGTATTTGAGCTCTGATGTAGCCATGGGATGCCTATGGGAGAATAGAAAAACAGGGAAAGTATGATCATTCTTTTCCATATGCACTTTGACAGTTCGAAAGACCTTTAAAGATCAAGTACAATTTTCAAGTAACCCTGACATTTTTTGGTTGCTTCTTCTGCTTCACTGGTATCACAAAACCTGTTTCCATTGCACCTGATCATTGGTGTAATAAACAAATAACAAATGAATCATTCACTGAGTTAGATGTGGGAGGGTTTGTGTCTTCTAACAACTCACTTTTTGCTCAGTCTCATCACTGTATGCAGACTTTTCATTTTGAAACGACTATAAACTTGTGGTCATGAAATTTGTCTCTTAAGAGAACAAAAGGCAGCTAGTGACCCAACTTTATATCTCTGATAATCTCTTACAAAGTTTTTAATATTACTTAATTATGACCTGAAATTTCAGTGGAGAAAAGAGATAAAATTGATAGAAGCAGCTGTGCTTTTATTGTACACACAAGAGGTGCAGTATGAGTGAGGGAGAGGACATTAAGGAGAGTCAGACTAGTGAAATCTTACTGGTAAAAGTTAAGAATTCTATGTTTTGGAAGATTTTGCATTTTACTTTTATTGTACATAAACTATGTGTAATTAGTTATTATACTGTCACAGGGAAAATGTACTGATCTCTTCATCCCCATCTGTCATCTCTTAAGGAACAAAAAATTAGTTATAAAATTCCTTTATTTCTGTAAAAACATGATTATATTTATACAAATTGAAAATCTTCTGTCATGCTAATTTTTATTTACTCAGTAAAAGTTTAATCAGTTTTCTTGAGTAAGAAAAGATAGTAAATTGGCATTACAGCTAAGCATTCTGAGCTACTACAATTTCTGAAGTTATTGTAAATGATACAGCAGGAGCTTGTTTTTCCAAACTTACTAGTAGATTTTGCTTTAACTTCTTAGGTGTACTAGTTATCATCATTGTGTGTGTTATTGGGAGCCTGAGCATAATCTTGATGGTATATTGTTGTGGCTGCAAGAGACTAAGGAAAAAGAACGTAAAGCTGCCTAAATCTTTGGTAAGTTCAGACTTCTTATCTGCATCAGATTTTTAATATCCAACTATTTAATTTGTATAACTACCACATCTTTATGCCTATCTCTTTCTTTGTTTGTTTGGGAATTTGTTTTTTTTTTACCATGGTTTAATAGACGTTTAGAATTTATGCCAGTCTAACATTCTGATAGCACCTGCAACCAGATGCCTTTTATTTTTTTTTAGAGATAGACTTCAGTCTGTTTTTAACTGAAGTAGCAGTAGTTGGTCTAGTTTGAGAATTTAGTTCTTAAAAAACTCAATGTGTGTGTACCTAGGCAGGTTTGTGTTCATCCTAGTAGCAGAGACACAGAACCACAAAGTCACTGAGGTTAGAAGAGATTTTTGAGATTGTGTAGTCCAACCCTTTTGCTCAAGGAGGCTCAGCAACAGCACGTTACCCAGGATCATATCCAGATGACTTTTGAATACCTGCAAAGAAGGCGGCTCCACAGCTGCCCTGGGCAACCTGAGCAACCTGTTTAACCACCCTCACAGTTTTTCTTACATTCACATAAAATTCGATGTGTTTCAGTTTGTGCTCATTTCCTTTTGTCCTGTCACTGGACAGCTGTGAGATTCTTTTCATTTAATGGTAATATTGCAATACTGCTAACTGCTATAGTGTTCTTAGAGTTATGCAGAGTAAGGGGAGGGAGGGAGTAATAGAGCCATAGGAAGAGGGAAGAACAACTAGGGCAAGTCTTCTCTCACTGAGCAGTCTCAGGCAAGAGAGGTCAGCAGCTGCTCTATCTTAAAAGCTCCTTGTAGCTGTCCTTAGGAAACAGAGTGGATGTTCCTTAAAGAGCAGAAGCACTCCTTGGTTTCACATCAGGTGATAGTGGAGTGTCTAACAAGTACTGTTATAAGGTCCTCATGGTGTCCCAGTTAGTCACGGGTTAACAATCGCAATTTTAAAGAACTGCCACTTGAGGCAGTAGTAAACAGTAATCAGAGGAAGTGTATCTTCTCGGTGGGTGTAGGAAGCCTCATAAAGCTTATAGACTTCAAAAAATCAGATGAGAGAAACCTCTACAATGGAATCTGCAGCTAGGCCCCAGTATCAAAACACACAGGCCTGTAGAGACACTGCAGACTTTTTGTCATCTTCATATCAGTATGTAATTGTCTGAATACGTACAGTTATGGCCTACATGCACAGAACAGTAATTTTTTGTGAAGTTCATTATAGCAAAAGGTGGCTCATTCGGAACGACATTGTGCTCAATGGATCCGTAGTTATTTTGGCTTCTCAGTACCACTGTGATATCACATCTAAAGGATGCACAAATAGAATGTGTGCTCCTTAATGCCTGTGAGCTTTCTGATGTGTGCTCCAAGTTCACGTTTGAGCTCACCTTGTAGAAACTCATTTGTGTGCCCATACGCTCAATTTACTGGGCTATATGCTATCTTGTGATTCCCAGGTTCCAGTGTACCACAGTGTAGTTCACATTCTACATCATGCTTTATCACTAAGGAGCTGAGGGAGACCTATAACTATTTATAAATATTGTTACCTGGGTGGTCAGGCACTAAGACAAGTCCCCCAGGGGAGTAATCACTACCCGAAGCCCATCATTGTTCAAGAAACATTTGGACCATGCTCTTAGATGTATGGTTTAACTTCCAGGTTGCTCTCAGTGCAGTCAGGAGTTGGATTCTGATCCTTCTGGGTCCCTTCCAAATCAGGATATTCTTTGCAGCTCTGTTTTTTTTAGTTATACAACATATATTTTTCATCTAGAGAAACTGTAATTGTTCCTGTAAATTTTAACTTATACTTGCCACAAGTAATTGTCATATTACAAGAGAGGAACTGCTTCATTATCTTTTGCGAAAACGTTTTTTTTCCTGTGAGCATCTATAGAGCAGTAAGGTAGTCTTCTATTTGTAAACTTACACATCATTAGTGTGTTGTGAAATCATGCAAAGGCCATGCAGATTTTTGTCACCGTCCTAATAAGGTTTGAAATGGACTTTTCAAACTCTCCTCCAGAAAATGTGCACCTGAAAATTACTGGGAATTCGTACGTGGATAAGTCCCTAGAAAAGAAAGTTAAGACAGAATCTGTTAATTACACTAACTGTTACAGATTGCTTGGGAATGTTATTTATCTGTATTCTTGAGTCAGGCTTTCAGCAGTATATCTCCCTCGCCTCTTGAGACAGTGAAAGTCCTGAAAGCTCAGGTGCTCTCATTGGAGACAGGAAGTTGTGTGAGCACCTGCATATGCCAGGAAATACTGCTGACATCCATCTTAAGCTCACTGGCTGTCAGTTTGCCAGTATTAGATAATGTGAAAAAAAGAAAAAATATTAACTTACCTATGGCAAATACTTTTCTTGCAATAGCAACCATATCTTAATTACACTTGTTGCTTGAGATACTTTGAATGGCATTTCAGTTAGTGTAATAACATGTGATTCTTATCTTTGAAGCTAGAAACAACTGTATGAATTGCTAAGTTGTCTTGTAGTCATGACTCAGTGACTCCTAGAAAACCTTTGGTACTGGGAAATCCCCCGGAGTTCTTTCTTCTAATCGCTTCCTTCTTTCATGGATGGGAATGGGAGTGCCTTTGCACCATCTTGCGTTGGTAGGAACTTGCCAAGAGAAAAATGGATTTCCTTTTTGAGAAGTCTTGGATGTAGTTGTACAGGGAATAGGTATTTTATCCTCAAACTCTCTGAATATATTCACTGTGAAATGCAGGACCTGTATAAGAGTACAAGGCAATCCCTTACCATATTTTAGGACTGTGATTTTTAGAGCCATGTGAAAATCCTAAAGGGACAGAAACAAGTACTCATTGATTTAAGATGGAAAGTTGTAAATGAAGGTTTTAGCAATAGTTTCTTTAATATTTTGTTTTAATTCACATTCCTCAAGTATTCTGTCTTACACAGAGAATTATCTTCTCTTGTTGCTTGCTGGGATTTTTGCTAGATTTTTACTACACACCCCCCCCCGGCTGAAAAAATATAAATGCTGGTCCCTTCAAGGTCAATGTTGTAAGCATGAATATCCAATATTTTTTCAAATACATTTATAAAGAGGTTTTAAAAATAGTACAATTATCCTACCAGCTGTTCTTAGCATTTTCAATATCTACCCATTATTGATTGTATTCTGGTTTTTGCAACTAACTTTTAAGCATCTGCATCTTATGAATTAGTGGTTTCTGTGAATTCTCATGAAAATTACTCTGAATATTCTTCATATAGTATTCTGACTGTCTCCACATAACAGAAAATGAAGATCCAGATACACTGATGGCTGAATGGCAGCTAGGTTGTAGTGTGTCAGGAGCCACCTTAAGGCACTTTTTACAAGTTTTTCAGTGACAGCCCTTGATTCCCCAGGGTTTGTCTTGCCTTGGTGGTGCTCACACAGCTGTTTGTAAAACTCACTTAGATTACAAATAACTGCTCTCCAGGGAGTGTTTGTTTGGTTTCTGGTGGTTGTTGTTTGTTTGCTCGTTTTTTCTAAATTGCAATGGTTTCATCAATCCAGCCTAAAGCACAGTAGCATCAACAGATATCAGGGCTACTGAGGGAAAGGATAACAGAGCTGAAGTGAGAGATGAAGGCAAGTTCTAATGAAGTTAGCACAATGTGAAGGTATGAATGTGAAGCTTAAGTCTCAAAACCTTTTGATCAGGGAAGACTCTTGAATAGCACAGTTAGATTTGATCATCTGGTTTTGATGGCCCTCTCAGTTCTTAAACTAATACAGACTGGGAGGTTCTTTATGCCTGTTTGTAACTTTTCTTAATGTTATTTTTCTTCCCCGTTCCTCTTCCTACCTACATCCCTTTCTTCCTAATTTACCTCAATCTGAAATTTCAAAGAGATTATTTTTTACAAAGTATCTAAAAAACAGGGATTGTGTATTTTCTTAATAAATTTGCATATCTATAATACTTGATAGTCTGTGACACATCTATATAGGGAATTACAAAATTTGGAAAAGGGCACTATTAATTAACTCTTTCTCCCTAGGCATTCTGTTATCTTTAGGGAACACCATCAAACAACTGAAAATTTGCCCTTTGTTTTTCATATGTTTGTATTCTTGAGAACTCATTAAAAAAAAAATTAGAAGGGTCTAAACAGCCTGAAGACGTATCATAATTGCTTAAAACAAGCTGGAGCCTGGCCATTGAAGGAATTCATATGATCACCCTGTGGAGGGATTTCAAAGCGAAACATTAAAGTTTGTTGCAGCATTTGAGGGAGTGCTTAGTGACACCGTGAAATAACTAGGAAAACTTTGTCATAGATACGATTACTGGGTATGTTGTCCTGAACACAGGCTCATTACCTGGTGTGCAGCACCAATTCATGCACTGAGGTGAGGTATTTCAGTTTTTTATTCTAATTTATGCAAAGTAATGAGCTAGGTGGTAACCCACAAAAGGCTGGCTCACCGATTATCAAAAATTTACAGTATTTATAGGTTTTAACAAAAAAAGGCATCAGCAGTTGTTGGTTACAGTTATATAACTTTTTATAAACTAGTACTTCACCCCCTGTTTGCTAGTTATCTCTCTCCCTTCCATGCTGATTACTCTCCATGTGCAGTTCTTCCCTCCGTTTCAGTCTGGGGTCCGTTTTGAGTAGGTGGTCAGTGAGTTGGTAGACACAATCTCTACGGCCGGAATTACCTTTCCCCCAGTGAGGGGGGGAAAGTCAGCTCTGCTGACTTCACTCCTGGTAGCTCTCATCCAGACAGCCCATTCATTTCAGGATTGTCTTCCCTTTTCCTTAAAATAAAAGATTAGCTAAGCATACAATGTTCACCGTGCAATTGCTTAATCATACATGTCCAGCTACAGCTACTGATTAACAACTAAAGTTTGATTCAAATCTTGAGCGGCTTGTTATCAGGTATACATAAAGGTTCTTGTGCCATTTTCAGTCTCTTTCTAAAGTTTGCTCCCCTCCCAGTTGAGACAGTTGTCAGAAATTGTTACAATCATTGTAAGTTACACTCATTAACTATGAAGTATGAAAGCTTTCCCTAGTCAATTGAAGATTATTATGTCTTTTTCTTCTTTTGCTATTTTCCTTTACATTGAAAACTTCAAATGACTTAAAATACAGTGGGTGACATGAAATGGATTTGATCCTTGCAAATGTGTTTGCACAGAGAAAGCATTTTTGAGAAATTGCATAAAAGTTTCAATGAAACAGTTGGAAAACATGGATATAGGCTAATGACTGTGCCCTATTCTAATTTTGCAAATTTATTTTGGGATTGCTTATAATGACCTTAAATTTGTATTATCAACTTGTATCTTTTTTTAACCTCTAAACTGAAAGTGATTTTTTTTTTTTTTCATTTAAGGTCAGTGTGATGAGAAATCTAAATAAAGACACCTTACCTATAAGGCCAAAATCGGAGGGAAAGTATATATCTGTAATAAGCTTCATGTCAGGCCAGTCAGCATTGCCAGTGAATGGTGAAGTAACCTTGCTGGAGATAGAGCCAGAAGAAGAAACTGTTAGTCCTAAGAATTCCGACGAAGGAGAATCTTCTGTTCCTACCCCAGAGGCACCAGCCAAAGCAGAAGAGGAGACTGTGCAGGAAACCACAGAGGAGGTATCTTTTGATGCTGATGAACAGAATTACAAAGTAAAAGAGAGTTATTTCATTTCTGACAGTAGCCAAATGGATATATGCAGTAACTCTTCAGGTACAGAGGTTTCTCCCACAGAAACACAGCAAAAAGTCATTCCAAGCAGCTGTTTCAAGTTTTCTGGCTATGACAAGCCTCATGTTCCATTAGATATGTTGATGATAGATGTTGGTGAAGAACAGTCTGTGAATACTTACAGGCCAACTGAGTAACCAGGATAACCGAAGTGTTTAGCCAGAGGTTTAACTCAGGAGAAACAACATTACTGAAGATTATGGAAAATCTGGGTTAAATTGTGAACATCTGCAAGTTGTACTTCTTCTGATCCAACCAAAGTAACCAGTACACAAGTGAAAGTAGTGCCTGAAAATTGCATAAAAAATGTAGGGAAATTTCATAATAACCACTTTTAGAAGTGTTTTTGTATGATATAATTTAGTATTTCCTATTTGAAATAGTATTCTGTGTTTTTTAACAATACTCTACAGGAAACATACCATTAGTCACTTCTGTTTCAGATCCTTTTCAAAATTGTGTCGATGAACACAGTGCTGAAGAAGTCCTTTATTTGATTATGATAGAGATGTGCAAGAAACGTTTGAGAGTTTTTCCCATTATTGGAGGTGCCCTCTTGATTGTCTTCTTCTCTTGAGTATTTTTATATTAAATGCTAATATTTCTTTTAAGGACAAGTATGATTATAAGCTCTTCCTGTATAATTTAAGAATTTGATTCCATATTAAAGAAGTAGGGAGTAATGGCCATAAACTGAAAATACACAAAGTTGCACCTCAACATGGGGAAGAACTTCCTTACACTGAGGGTGGCAGAGCACTGGAGCAGACTGCCCAGGAAGGTCGTGGAGTCTCCCTCTCTGGAGACATTCAAAACCCACCTGGACGTGTTCTGTGTCACCTACTCTAGGTGACCCTGCCTTGGCAGGGGGGTTGGTCTGGATGATCTCCAGAGGTACCTTCCAACCGGATTTCCTGACTATGGGAAAGAACCAGTTACTTGTAGTTTTTCCTGTGACTGGAAGTAGGTTACTAGAATCATAGAATATCCTGAGTTGGAAGGGACCCATAAGGATCGTCGAATCCCAACTCCTGACCCTGTACAAGACAGCCCCAAGAATCACATCATGTGCCTTAGAGCATCATCCAAATGCTTCTTGAACTCTGTCAGGCTTAGTGCTGTGACCACTTCCTTGAGGAGCCTGTTCCAGTGTCCATCCACTTCACCCTCTGGGTGAAGAACCCTTTCCTAATATCCAACCTAAACCTGCCCGAAACGGTATCATGCCATTCCTTTGGGTCCTGTCACTGGTAACCACAGAGAGGAGATCAGTGCCTGCCCCTCCTCTTCCCCTCATAAGGAAGTTGTAACTGCGATGAGGTCTCCCCTCAATCTCCTCCAGGCTGAATAGACCAAATGCCCTCAGCTGCTCTTTATACGGCTTCCCCTCAAGGCCCTTCACCATCTTTGTAGCCCTCCTTTTGATTCTTTCAGGATCATCGCTTCATAGATTTCAGTTAATTAGCAGGAGACATTATTCTTTGTAGCTTAAGTCCTGTGACTAAAAAAAACCTACCTGTTTTTAAAACTGCTGTTATTTGAGTATGGCTACATCCATTTGGATCACCTAAATACACTGCGTAACCATGTCACATTCTGGATAATTCTGGAATGTATTAGCATGCTGGCTGATCATTATTGAAAAAAATATCTAATGGGTAGTTGCACAAATTCTTCAGAAAATGTTTTCAAAATTCAAAAGCCTATTTCTTCTGGGACATTTTTATCATGATTCTTAGAACAATATAATCCTTAAATAGAAATCAATAGGACTTCTTCCAAACATGTTTTCTAGCAGGTTGAAAATTACTACCATGTTTCCCCTTTTTATGATGTAACTCAGGAACTACACAAAATCACCTCCCTCTAAAGACAACAGAAAAATAATGTGGTAAGTTGTAGTTCATAAGCTATTGTCATCTGACAGCTTTCTGAATTCTGTAGTATAGAGATTGTAGTTTTGAAAACTGAGGGATAAAGATCTTATCTTTTTATATTTTTTTAATAATTAAAATCCATGCAATCCATTTATTTACCCTTAGTCAAGATATGATAGGTATTTTCTATTTGTAGGATATGTTTACAGTAGTTATTAATGGAGCTTAGTTCAGAACAAAAGGATGCTTTACAGACACAAGTTAGTCCATTTGTACAAAATTGTATCTTTGTTTTAAAAGATATTTTTATAGGATTATCAGAAGTGTTAACATGTTAGAGCAGATGGTTTTGAAGGAAAACCAATGTCATAGTACTTCTGTCCTTATATTTCTCAGTGATACGAGTATTCTTAAGATGAAGTTAGCCTACACAGCAGTTTCTGAGCTTCTTCCATTCCTGCATATATCAGATATTGACCACAGTGATACAAAAGATTTAAAGACAATAGCTATTTTTCACATCACTGCACACAGGAAGGTAACAGATTGCTTAGCAGGATTTTGATAATTGTAGATAAAGCCAAATCAAGCACGTGAATTTTGTAGTTATGCTGTAATGGAAAACCCGACTCAAAAGACTTTGGTATTTGTTAGCTGGCTGTGATTTGTTTCTGCATTGTATTCAAACATAGTGAGACTGCCTAGCAGCTTTTTCAATGTCACCTTCTGAGTTGAGTTCCTAGAAGGCAATGCTCAGTGACTTACTGCTTGGGATCCATTAATGTGTAGGTATCTCCATGGCAGAAGTGCAGAAAACAACTCTCTTGGTGTTACAAGAAGGCTTTTTGAAAATCAGCATTAATTTGCATTTGAAACTACAACTGAACTGACCTTTCAGTTAATGATGTGGTTTGTATCTGAAGCTTCTAACTGTCTATCTGCTAAGGAGATGAGCAGCTGCATCTTGTGCGGAGCTTGGAGTTGATGTAATTTCTTTCTGGGTTTGGAGGTTTGTTGATAAATATGAACTGTAATAAATACCTCAGGACTTTATAAATGTCAGGTAACTGTTTTAAGTTAAACTTTGCTCAGAAGGGATAAATAGAAACTGTGAAGGTACCTTGGTTTGGGGAAGAAGTTTCTGGGTATCTTCTTTGCAACTGCTCAGAGTATTATATCTACTTGCAATTAGTAGTTGGTTTTCCTTCTGTCAGTCTTGCCCAAAAAAAAATATATTGATGTTCTCCAAGAAGGGCAGGAATTAACCGTGGTTCCATTTGATATATCTGCCTCAAAGCCAAGATCCTGTCAGAAGCATGTAATTTCCTGGAAAATTAAATTTACATTCTTAGCAGTGCATGTGGAAACCCTGGTGCTGTTAGGAGCTAAGACTCAGCGTCTTAGATTTGTGTGAACATGAGAGATCACTAGGTGTTTTACGTTCTAGAAGGTTCTCCTTTGCTGCCACACTGGAAGAGGAATGCAGATAGATGCATTTTAAAACCAAGTGACTGTCTCAGATTCTTTTCTCTTCCTCCTGCAATACAACTACATTGTATATTGCTCTCAATCTTTCAAGTCATAAGTAGTTGTGTGTGAGTAAAACGACCCAGCCAGGAGCTAGGACATAATTAAGAACAACAGTGTTAAGATCAATAAGATGAATAAGAAATAACACAGAAATAAATCATAAACATATGGGAAAACTTAGTCACGTGTAATGGAAAGGCACTGTTATTTTGTAAGCTGAAAATCAAGAACAGTAACATGAGTGCTTTTTACTGTACCACATATATATATATATATATATACACACATATGCACACAACTGACATCCTCTTGTAATATCACAAGGTTAAATGTATTTTTAATGAAAATTTGTGAACTCTAATTACAAAAACCCCTGAATTAGCACCATCCCTGCAGATCTGTCTTCTGTGTACTGTGTACTTAACAAGTAGCCAATAGCACAAGAGTAGTTTAGATGTTTAAATTGTTCAGGCCAGCTTACAGGTTTTATAATTGTGAAATAAAGTTCAAGAGTGCACAAAGCATGAGATTCTTTTATTAGCTTTGACTACCTGAAAATGTGAGGCCACAGTGGGACAACGATGTCTTTCCAGGTCATTAAGCTCTCTTTCTCCCAGTCTTGTTTTCAGCAGTTGTCAGTAGTGGTATTGAGAGCCTAAAAACAGGGCAAGTGCCTCATAATATCTCTGTTAGAATACAATCCAGCAGCTTGCAGGGTGAGGACTTCTTGGGACAAGGAAATTGGAATGTCTTTCTAGCTACAGCTAGTTAGCTTTGCGTTTGCAGTTCTGTAGTACCAAGTACCTGAGCAACGTACGTGCAGTTGGGAAGCTGTCAGGGAGTATTTATCTGTGCATTTTCACCTAATTAAGTTAGTTTATTTTAAGAAATTAATATTCTTGTGATTAAGAGGTGAGCTTCTGGATATTTGTGCAGAGTACCTTGACATAGGATATGGAAGTGCCTAACATTTACAGATTCAAAATAACTTAATATTCATGCCTTTTACGGACCTATCAGCTATTCAGTATGACACACTTAGAAAGTTTCACTACTTCAGACTTTTTCAGGTGATTTTTACTCTTGTCCTGACTGCTCAGCATTCCTCCCTTCCTCTCTCCTAGAAGCGATTTGGGATGTACTATAGCACTCCAAAATATCATATCCTATGTAAAAGAAATTGCATCACAAAAATTTGGCCTAATACTTGACAACATTTCTAAGAACTTCTTCAGTGCTTGTTCTCGAGTGGACATTGTAATTTTTTATCATTAGATCTGCAATTAACAGTGAAGTAATGTGGCAGTACTGTGTGCTGGCACAGCAGTATCAAATCTTCTGCTTTTATATGGTTTTCCACCTGAATCAGCAATGTAGTTTAAAAAACATAATTTTTGTCAAATCTGCTGACATCTGTGGAAACAAGACACCATGAAGGGTCCTGGTTGCCTAGAAGAGACATGCTTTTTTGTATGTAGTGCTTCATTAGAAGATTGCAGGAAAAGAAAATTGCGTGAGAAGACCTGTTTTTCTCAGGGATAGGAGTAACCAGTTGCTCTGAAGTGATGCCATCTAAACAGTTGAGTATTAATAAGTAAAAGATGTTGTACTTGGTTCAAATTAATAGTTTCAGCATGCCTAAAAAAAAACCAAAAACCCAAAAAGCGAAAACATGCAACCAAAACAGCAAACCAAATACAAAGCACCTTTCATTTCATGAAATAAATGACTTGCATAGATTTCTTCAGTGTTCTTTTTATAATTTAGTCCTCTAATTATGAAGTCCTTGTTTATTAATACTCTATGTTCTCTAAATGGATACAACCATTGGGCTGAAGTGTGTAATTGAAATGTTGTAAATACTGTACATTTGAAATGTTTTTATATGAAAATATAATCTCAGAAGAAGAATGTGTGTCGTTGCCTCTTTGTTAGCTTTTGTTCTGAAGACTAAATCTGCTTTTGAAGATGGCTGAGTTCATGTTACTTATGTAGTGTATGCTTGAGCATTATTGAAAATCAAAACACTGTTTGAGGGAGATGTGTGTGGCAAATATGTGTGCCTAATTAGATGTGGCCAGTTACTGTATTCTGTTTACCAGCTACATCATCAGCTTTGCAATTTCTTTTTTGCACTTTGACAGTGTTGATGCAGCCTGCAGTAACTTCAGTCCAGTTCTGTTGCTTGACCCTGGAGACTCTCCTTATGTTCTATTTAAAAATTATGGACAAGGATTATGATTAAATGGTTGCACCATTTGAATGGATTAGTTGCTGCAGAGTGAGGA